CCTAAGCCCACGCCATCTCATTTACTACTATTCGTCTTGGTTGTGATAAGTGCTACGGAGCCGCACTGACCTCGCGTTAGTCAGAAAACATCAGGCTTCCGTGCGGATAAAAAGCAACAAGCTACGTCTAGCATTTTCATCGCCAAAATAAAACTAACTTCCACATAAACACTCTAAAAACACAAATACATTCTATGGATCGAAGATACGTCATACTATTATTAAAATACAGGCGATTCTGCAGGCATTGGAGTCTAACAAGCCCACTCAACCCATTTCATCAGCAATCATCAACTTCTCGATCGCTGTTTTATTGTTTGCCACCATGAGTTTTCTGTTGTCGTTTTCGTCCGTGCCGTTTCACCTTTGGTACATTTGCACGAAACACTAAGATTAATAAGTATTTTCTAAAAGGAAAAACTGTTCACCGGGAGAAAACCAGTAACATGTGGAGTCCTCTTCGTAAATTCGACCAACGTTTACAGATCGACGTTAGGATCTTCGAAACTATTAAGACAGTCTAGAAAACAATTCTCATGTTCAATTTAATAACAACTGACGGATTATGCTTAAGTTGGCACGGCTGGTGCAAATTTCATCATTTCTATGTGCCAAAAGCCGTCGGCAATATGGCGCACAAATTACAAACCAAGAATAAATCTGGGTGGAACAGGATAGCGGTATTTAAGTTATTGTCCTATCATAATCTACATCGTATATATCTATATATATCTACATTGTATATGATATACCTATATACATATAATCCACATTGTATATGGTATATGTTGGACCTGAGCACTGCGGGCAGCAACGTTGACAAGCTGTCAACCTATCGGTGAAACCAGTATTGTTAGTTACATAAATGCGTGCATTAAATAGATCATTTAATACGTAGCGCACAAAAACGCTATATTCTGGCTTCGTTATACGCAGGCACGTTAACGGCTGGCGTTATGCATTATAAACCTATATACAAAATAGGTTCAATTTCACTCTATTTAGTAGCATGAACATTTCATATGTATTCTTTTTTAAATATATTTTTAGTGTATTTCCTGATATAAAGTATTGAGGAAGAAATGGCGTCTGACTTCTGAACAGCTACCTATGTGGCAAATGTCAGTGGCCTTAAATTTGTGGCTGCAAGGTTAAAGCAGCATTTCCCAAATTTCACTAAGATCGCTATTTAGCGTGCCACACAGGAAACAATCCAATATATGCTGATCAGACTGGCTTACACGATGTAAATCAGCCCTGATTACCAGCGCTTTCAGATGCTGCAGTGATGTACATCAACTGACCGCTAGTCAAGCCATGCGGCGCTACGGGCCGACCAGACTTGAAACAACAGAATGGTACGACTAGAGATACAACTACGCAACGGTCAACATTACAAAACTGCGGAATCGAGTTTGCCGATTGTCATTTTAGTGCATTTAGGACCGGCCGCATGTTAATCAGCTGCTAGTTTCCAATAGCTTTTCTAACAAGAATTTTGAGTCGGCACTATTATTTACAAAGACTGTAGAGGAAAATCCGATCGACACTTTACTGGTGCCCTCACTTGAAGACTTTGAGGGAACACTAATCAAATCTAGCACTGGCAAAAAGCGGCATAACGGCACGTGACAGATGAAACCGGGTCAGAATCTAATCGGTACCTGAATGAACTTGTTTACTTATTAACTCCAGGTAATTACGTACAAAATATTGAAATAAAACAGGTATTTCATGACAGGGGCATGCTAGCGCATTATTACTAGCCAAATTTTCTTTAGTTGCCTACAGGACGCAACCGGCCTGTTGTGGGCCAAGTACGTTATTATTTTCCTACAACGTCAACATGAATAATAGTTTCTGGTTAATAGTTTTTTTTGGTATTTTTTTTACGAGCTTATGTTTTTGCCAAAGCTTCTTTGCCTTAAGGATGGCTCGTTTTTAGCTAGTATAGAATTGATAAAACTATCTTTGCTCACAATCTAGGAAGCGATGGCTCCATTAATAAAGAGGAAATTGCCAAAGCTGACGGCTTTTAGCAACGCACAAGGTTACCGATCGTTTACGATGTTTTTCCATCGTGTACTCATACACAAAATACGTTAATTGAGATGTGCTGCTCGAACTGGCCACTTGATTGAGCGTCACAGGCTAGATGTGAGCTTTGAAGCATGGAAACGCGATCAACGTGTCTAGCCAATATCCGAAATAAGGCGGTAGCGGCCCGTGCATTTAGTATTTTTCACAGTCAGTTAAATTACCTGCAGTTTGGAACCTTTGCAATTCCCAGCATAGGGAATTTGTCTCTGTCAATTTGCAAAGATTAGAAATACGACCTATAAAATTTCTGCACGGAAGCATATTACAGATAGCCATTGGAAATGCCTGTGGGTGCTGGATAACCGAGTAAGTATCGACGGCGTTTCCAACATACGGACAGTGTTCTCTACTGACTCTGCCGACTATTGCCAGCCTACCATCCTACCGAAGACTAGAAAAAACTAGCCTTCGGTAACGTCCACATGCCGCACCTCAGTGATATCGATATAAAAGAATTCATCACTTCCTAACTTGAGCAATACAACCTACGTAGTTCGGCTGAATTCGCCGATAACTCGATGCTAATATAATGTGGGTGTGCTGTGGTACGGCAATCATGGCCCTTCGTAAATAAACGACAGGTACAAGATAAACCGAAAAATATTTCATAATAGGAAATATCTAACAAATATTCGGTCTACAGGAGTATGATACGCAATACTTTGGAACAATCAGATTATGATTTCCTCGACGGTTTTTTCAATAACTTTGATCCGTTCGTCAATTGAACAACTTTCCGTTTGCATTGCACGCGTACGAAAAAATGTTTACGCAAGCATGTCTGCAAGCCTTGCTTGTTCCCGCATCGAATCACAACAGCCTTCATTATACCCTAACTTGTATGTTAGGGTTAAGTGTAACTTGACGTTGTCACACCCGCTGCTCACCCCAAACATACGAGCAGGAAACATTTAAGTGGATTTTGAAAAGTCAAGGCCTCGGTATGCCGATCTCGCCTACACAGATCTATCGACACCTTTACATGTTGACGAGCGGGTTCTTCCATGGAATAGAGTTGTATCTGCATTTTTATCAAAACAATTCCCCAATAAATCATGGCCTTGAGATCACCTTGCTATTACAGGCATATCATCCTTTTCCACGTGAGAGCACCTCCACGTCAGGCCGATGACCAACCAGGCGAGTGGGTTTCTAACAGAATCGCGGATCCAGAGTGGCTAAATCCAACGGTTGAAACCTCAGAGCGTTGACGCCCCATTGAGTCTTCCCTGTATGCTACGGTGTAAATCCATATTGACCGTTTTGGTGAATCGCCGTGCCGTATTTATATAAAGCGACGTACGATTTTTTTGGCCGAAGGCGACGCGAATGAAACAAGGCAAGCTTTTCTATTGTAAACTGCTCTACCAGTCGAGATGAAATCGGTGGCAGTAGCGAGTTCTTTCGTTCTAAAGCAAAAAATATACATCAAAATGATGCCATTATTAACAATTAAGCCGCAAGCTCATTTCGTGAAAAGCTTGAGCTTTTTAAGCAAGTGTATCCGTGATCGTAATCTTTGTCCGTGTTGGTGGAACGTCTTACGTAAGTAAAATCGGTGCATCTTCGTTGTATTCTCTCGTCAGTTATCACGTACGAAACAGGTGAATGAGAAGTACGAATCCTTATTGTTAAAGGCACTATAAGGTGTTCATAAATGGCCACCACTTCTCGACGTAGAAAAACGACATCGGTATACGATCACGTTCAGCCGTCGAGTACAAAGTGTATGGCATTTCGCCATATACGATATGTGGTCTATTTGAAACAATACTTAGTAAATGTAATACTCCTAGCGGATACAATAGATACAACAACAATAAAAAAAACATACATTTTTCTACCTCGCGTTAGCCGCCGTAATCTATAGCAAATTCTAACGATTTGGAAAGGTTCTAAGATTGGTTACACACTCACCGCTCTCAGCAAACACGAGAAAATCCGTTCTCGCCTCCTCCAGCACATGCTCACTACAACCGGCTATGGCAATAGTTCCTGGAACATTTCCTACGTACAGGCTATACGCTGTGCATAGATAATGGTACCATTCCCTCATCATGAGTCAGTAATAACTCTGAAGCGTTTGTGATTTAATAATGAAATACTTTACCGATGGCTGCTCAGAAGATTACCGTCATTATCGCCGGTCAGATGACGATTACGAACTTAGTTTTGCATCGCCTTTCACAAGAATACTAGTTTCCTGTCATACGCGACGGTCGTACTTCCTGTTGTTTTATTTTTATTCACGACGCCCGTATCTGGCGACCGAGCTACTTACGCTCATCGAGTCCCGTGGAGACAAATTTATAAGCGCAGAGCAAGTGACCGTGAAAGTCTCGTCTCTGCCTCCCGACGACAAAGCTAAGCCATCCTGCAAACCATTATAGTACATATAGATATATACAGATAAGAAACTACATAACAGATAGCTGCTAGTTCAGATCACGTTGAATTACGAAATCATTAGTCTCAAGGGAACAGTCACGTCCCCAGAAAACTTCCTAGTAATTTTCTACGGTTTCATAAAAACAGTCGTATTAGCTGTGTTTCCCAAGAGATTAAGCATTTATTAGTGGCTAAAAGTACTAAAATAAAAATAGCAAGATCTTGAAGTTTGGAAGATGATCGAGGCGAATCGGGGATTCCGCTCCACGCAAGGCTATAATGTACCGGCTGGCCACTATAGGTCCTAATCGAATGAAGATCGTGGACAATTAGGCACTTTGCTTGCGGCACTTAGGAAAAATATTAGGGCTGTAAACGATGCAGAAGGCGGAGGTCTTCTTGAGAGCCACTGTTGCCAGAGAGTCAGCGTTGGTGCCCAGACGGACCGTTTGGCTGTGTGCTTGGATTCCCCTTCTAAACATGAACTTTCTCCTTTTTCCATCTCCTTCCAGTCTCGTTCCTGGGGGAAAGTAACGATAATCAACGCCGATGACAAGACGGATTTCGGTATATGGGCAGAAACATCGATGAATCTACAACACCCAGGCTACTCTTCAGAAGATTGACGGCCAGCCGGATCTCCGCTCTGCTCTTAGCAGCGACTAGTAGAGTACTGCCAGGTAAGATGAGCCGAGATATCTTTGCAGAGTTGTTTGTGGACTTAGCCGCTAGTAGCAATGGCAATTAACTAAACGCGTGCATAGTATAGCTGCGGCGTCCTTTGCGATATTCGACAGCCTGCAGCTATAGCGGTCATCCCTCAGCCGGATTTGAAACTTAATGTTAGCTGAGAAAACGCAACCAAAACAAATCATAAGGAAGGCTAATACGCAACCTTGTGAGGCAAGCAGTTCTAATGGCAGTTTCCGCGAAGGTCAAATAACTCAATCTATGTCGGAGGCGTTGCGATATTTGTGTTGTAATTCTGAAACATCGGGTTTCGTTTGATAGAGTTAGCGGCGTAGAGACAATTACACATGGCGCGGATTTTGCCTGCACTGACAACTTGTAAGCTTCTTCATGAAAGCTTCAGCTTTCATTATAAGTGTTTGAGTGACAAAACTAGGCCTGCCCCTAATTTAATGCTAATGAAGGTTTTTTTTTGGTGGAACAAAAGCAATTATTTAAGACTTAAAAAATTGCGGAACACCTCCGATATTCCATACATACATGTATATTATTAATAACAGTATCAGTCAATTTGCATTACAATAAAAGGGATTAGAGTATGGAAGTCAAAATGTCAAAAATCACCTACAGCTTTGTTTATCAGGTATTACATTAGTTAGCTAATCTTTGACCCGGAAATTTGACTACATCGTGCACACGGACGCGGCAGTCTATCACTATGGGATTCGTCGCTGCTACTAAAAACTGGGCCACAAGAGTGATCTAATCGTCAGCATAAGCTAACTGACTAGTAATTATGTTATGCATTTGATTTAATTCGTTAACACTGTTGCTATGAGCAGTGCATATACTGCTATGGGTGCTGGCGGCTGAGTCGTTCTTTCGGGTTTAGCAAATGCTTTCACCCATAGCACTGCTAATCGTCGTTGAAACTGTACGTGTCTTATTTCGTACGTTGATTCCAGTAGCCCTGTGCTTAATATTTTTTAACCGCTTTGGTGCTGGATTTTCTCGATAGTGCTTGACCTTTCAGTATAGCTCATTGTATGATGTGACCTCTAGACGTGTTCCTGTGTAATAGATGCATTGTTGCTGTTTATACCTTATGCGTGACTTCAGTGTGGGCTGGCCTGTTCGTCCACTTTGCGCCAACGTGCTAGCAGAGTACGTTGCTTTTTACCGGTTAGAGGTAGCTTGATACCTATTTCCTTCTGTGCAGAGCCAGCATTAAGTTGAATATCATTTGGTCTCGTAATGATTTTGCGTACTGTGGTGACCTGTATCCAGGAGCACAGTTCGCAAAAAGTTGTAGAGTTTGATGTGAACGGTATATGCATCGTCTATTCGTTATACTCTTCAAAGCTGACTTGGGTTCCTGCGGATTAGCATTTTTCTATTCGGAGCAGGGCGATGTTTTAGCATACATCGGGATCAGTTCGCACAAACATTGATCAGAGCGGCTAGCTTTTTCCTCATCCTTGCATGAGGTAAATTGCGGTGGACGCCCACTTAATCACTTGTCAGTACGGCATATCATGGCATACATTTTATACTGTCGCTACTATCTTTCCTTGTACCAAAATTTACATAATCACCGGGATGCTCATCAATCGCCTATCACCCCATCTTAACAAACAAATATTAGCCTTATACGCTAATTGAGAAGACTATTAAATGTGTCTTGTATCCGTGGGATTCTTTGTTTGATGCGGAGGAATCCAGCGCTGTCTTCATACCCCGGTATGCATGACTACAATAATTTAAAGCAGCGTTTTTGAGAGCTGCTATTGTCTGCCATTGAGTTTAATGCAAATTATAGTTTATTAAACAGCTTAATTTGTAAATTGAAGGCTTTAAGTGCCTTTGGCCTATACATTACAGATTCCATCATGAACGAGAGTATACTTCTGGCGTCGATTTGCATGTGACAAACTACACTCTGAATTCGCAGTCGCTGCTATAGTCGGCTATTCTCAATGGAAATCCAATTGTTAACATAATTTCTGTACTGGTAAAACACTTGTGACAGTGTACATGGGACGTATAATATACGAGAGTGAAGTCTTCCTTATCCGTCAGCATATCGGCATCTTTGCGTTTAACAGCGACCAGAATGAGTTGGCGAAACGATTCAGCAATTAAGAATTTTGCTTGGCGGACATTCAACAGTGGTGGGTCGTTCGTTGGGTACATCCTTGTGTGTGACGCGCCACTAAGATAAAATATTCTGAAGAAGACAAAAAGCCCAAATTGGCTTAGAGGCGCTTCGGTGCACATCGTACAAACCTGAAGCGATGCGTCCCATTCAGCGAAACCCACATTAGTGAAAATAATATATATGGCAAGGCTCAGTGTCTATCCTAAGGATTGTTCACAAATTACAACGGAGTAAGAGATTACAACGGACTCTTCCCTGTGGTTTTCACTCCATCACACGGGCTTGCGGCAACTGACATATCTGACCTTTTCTGTCTTTAGAGTGGCAGCACGGCGAAGAAGGAATAAGAGAAAATACAAATCTTTAAATCACAAAAAAAAACGTTTTATATATTCTATTTAGTTTTATATATTCTATTCTAATTTAGAATTCGAAGTGTTGAGGAAGTGGCTTAGCTTAAGACAAACTCTCGGAAAGATCGGCGTGGATATAAAAAACATTTACACGTAATTTGGGGTGTCTAAGTACCGTAATTGTTGCTTCTATTGGTGAACTTTACGCTTCATGATTTGAGATAATGATATTGAGACAGCAAAAGAAAAGCTGATTCCATTATTCAAAGAGAAAATATATTTATTCACTAAATGTTGTTGATGCCAGCGAGTCACGTATATAACTGTTACCTTCACATTTACCTTGTTGAACGATGAATGCTCCATGCGAACTACAAATAAGCAAGATATAGTTCATGATTAAGTCATTTCAATCTATTAAGATTAGTTTATCTCGAATACTTAATCATAATATTAGGGCACAATTTGTTACACTAGCGACATACAGTATCGCCAATAGGTACCGCACTTGTAACTGAGGACAACAACAAACCTTATAATAGATAAACGAACAGGTAAAAGTGTGTAGAGTTAGTTATTCTATAGAACATACTAAATTATTTGTTTTAACATCTATAGAAAACTATGCCGTTTACTAGATTTCTACTTACCGTATTTTTCGATTTATTTTAATATTAAAATTTACCAAAAACACTTCACTTGAGTTTCAAGATGACCGGGTACTCGTATACTGTACTGATTTCCAGTTAGTGGGGCAGTATTAAGTCGCCTATGTCTAAACAGTCGAAAAGAAAAGAGCCCTTTATGGAACCTCGTTTATTTCCGTCCCATGATCATATAATGCCATTGGCAGCTTTAGGACCAAATATGTACGTTTGACACAGTGTTGTCTGTCGACCCGCCCTGAGCATGGTTCTCTGTTAATTATCTGCGGTGTCTGCTAGCATATCCACCGTCAACAGCGTCATTCGTGTACTCCGTCACCCTTTCAGTCGATGAGTATGAATAGAATCTATAGCGTATTACATATTTCAACAGAGAACTTTGCCATGGTACAGTTAATGGCACGGTCAACAAGCCGGAACTAAGCTAAACGCACTGGGCGTCGACGGAAGAAAACGATGATTACGGCGACGATACGTTTGACCTAAAAGAGGAAGCTTGTGTCGGAAGTAGCAGCGAGGGCAGCAGCATAGGACACAAAGCGTCACCATGGCGATAGTGCTAGCGGTAGATGCCTTACGTTGTGAGTAGTGCCAATGCCTTACCCTTGATGTTTTACTGAATGCCAGCAGCTTGCCACCGTCACAGCGAGGCGGTGGCAAGCTGCTGGCAAGCTGCACGAAGCAGCAAGATGCACGAAGCGCCCGTTTACCGGTAGAAGAGCAATCAGTCGGTCGGCGAAGCCAGGTCTAGAGCTATCACTAAGCAGCAACTAAGGCTGGTGATTTAAACAAACATCTCTTATAAGAGTTTAGCGCTTACACATGATACTTTTCAACTCTGCATCAGTAAGTTCTGTTAAACTTCGTGTATGTTGCAACGGAACAGCGCAAATTTTGGCGCGAACTATCCGGTGCCATAACGCAACGAGACAATTGATTTCGAACGACGGTTTCTTTGCTGGGGTGGTTGCTCGGTGCGCAAAGACGGCAACGATCTAAACTGCTTTAATCATCACGATATATGTTTATTATAAAAGGCCTGACTTTTTGAGTAGCATTTTCTTAGCTGGGAGGCTAGAAACAAGTCATTAGTTACAGTAAAATAAATAAAAAGTACAGTCCACGAAGCCGTAATTTGCTACCATCCTTCATTAGCAATAATTACGATTTCTGATATTTATTAGTTAATTTAATTAAAGCTTGAAAAGCTTCACACTAAACAACGCAGCAAAAAGAAAATGACAACCACCCTAGGTTTTTATATCTAGCCCAGGTAAATGGAAGCGATGGGCAAAAAGTCAACTTTTAGCTTTCCAAGGGCGAAACGCCCGTTCGGCATAAAAAAATTTATAACCGTTCCAGGGTCTCGTTATGTATTACCGTTATCACATACTTTTAAACAACAGTTGTCTCAATTTTGTACATGTGGAAACTGAGCATCAAACGAGTAACGACCACAGCTCATGCGCTATGTCCCCCTCAATATTCCAGAGTCCTTTCTAGTCATATATATAGTTTTGAATTTCATGACGTCTACTGTTTCGTAGCGTGACTTACCGCGGTTATCTTCAATGTGTAGAATAGATATATATCGTACATCTATTCGCGATTGTATGTCCCTCTCCTTATTACCGAGTGCACAGTTTTCAATTTCATTACGTGTACTGTTCCCTAGCACGAACTAACATAGTTCCTTCAAGCTAGAAATAGAACACAACAGACAGTTGAGAGATGTATCGTACATCTATTTACGTTTATTCACGTTGCTCCACCATCTAAGGTTCTGTTTTTCGAGAGATTTCCATCAGTCCCGCCCGATAGGCTTTGTATTTATCCCCGCATTACCATACGTACTTCTATATCCGTATAGCGTTTGTACCAATTCGCATCTCAATATTACATTTGCAGCTTGTCTTTTCTACGATCTTCTCTAATGGACTCGTTCAAACGACCACCTTCATGAACTATGTCTTCATAATAATAATAGTTCTATATATTTTCCCTCTTGATAGTTCGTCTCTCTCATTCGTATAGTTTATACTTAATTTCTTTCTGTCCCGTTTTGTTCTCAATATTTCTCTAATCATGATAATAATAATAATAATAATAGTTAATAGCAATAATAGTCTATTCAAATTCCAAGTTGTTTTTGCGTTTCGCCTACTCGCCATTTGAATCGTTTTACTCTTTGCTTTTTCTGTCAACGATCCTCCCTATAGTCATCAACGGCACTCGCGTCGTCTTCGTTTGTTTTTGTTTACATGTTATTTACAATGACTGCAGGTAATGAGAAGTTGTCACCACTTTGTTGGTTTTAGTTATCGTTTTCTCCCAGGAAACGGTCCTCGGAACAGCTGTTGCAACCACGGTCATTGATCAACACTTAATAATATAAATAACGCTTTTCTCAATCAGTTTATCTCAAGTTCAATGATAATAAAAAAATTACACGAGCTCAAATAAGAGTAGATCGCACCTACGAGTTGCTTAAACTAGCATTGGTAACGATCAGATGCAATAAATATCCCATAAAGTATTTGTCTTACTTTAGGTTTAACTGTTCTCGAATCGGGTCGCTGCTAGCTAAATAATGAGTAGCATATGGCAGAAACGCGTGTGTTTATAAACTGCATTCCACAAGTTAGTGTGATAAATGTTTCCAAATGAAACGTAACATGTTAGCGGCATGATCCACCACCTCACGAAGCACCCAGTCGCTGTTGTAACATCAATAGCCAAAAAACAAATTCTGTGACACGTAATGAAGGATTTGTCTTTCATTACGCATTGTTTAACGAACTGATCGCATAACATAATAATTTATTATTACATTGCCGAAAAAAAAGTGCACGAAGTAAACAACTTAGTTTACAAATGAACTTGCTTTCGTAACATTTCATCAGAAAAGTAACAGCAGGATATTTCCATTGTCTCTTTAAATGCTATCTTCACTTGTTGCGGCTATCTGGTCAAGGCGCTACCCTAACTAAATCAATCTGAGTCATCCAAAAACAAGTGCTAATTTCACTCTCGTAGCTATGTAGGTATAAGCTGATTTTTATATTCGTTTGTAAATATTTAGATTTTTTCAATAGATAGAGCTTATGATCCTAAAAGATTAACTAACCTAGATCAGATAGTTTCGCTCACTAATAATCAACTTACTCTGTCCAGCAACACCGACCATCAAAAAGATCTCAACCTTGATTACCACGTTAATATATATATACCAATAATCTACCAAAGCTCAGGAAGCAGTAAAGCAATGTCTTTTTTGCTCACTAGTCTTTATCATCAACGACTTGGTAAAGTATTGTATCCACTACTTCAAAATATAGGGTACATCTATTTATAGTACATCCCTTTCGTTGCTTGCAGACAACAATAACTAAGTGATATTAAAGGCATATTCCTATGCACTGAAAATATCCTCATACACGCGTGTGCACGCACATCGTAGCCCTTACATGAAGTCACGTCTAATTTATGCATAGGATTTGCGTAAATTTTCCTATTTTTTAAACCAGTCACTTAATTTAACGATACAACTGGAATAGGTCTATCTCGCACTCCAATGACTTCAAATAGTGTGACATTCGTACCGATTTTATACTCAATTGTCACTATCGTACGTATAGTGACTAACTATTATTATCCACAAAGTATAAAAAAGAAGCATCCAAGCATCTCTGCATGTCGTTGTCACACACTGCAATCGTGACTAACTTGCAACGCAGAAAACAAACGTCCACTACTCGTTACTGTGCATCCATTCACGTTTCGCACACACAAAGACATACGTACAGATTGATACGACACTCAGACCCCGGCTGGCATATGAAGAACGGATACACAACTGAGTTCTATCGTTTTGTTGTATTTAACACTATCGCGTTCACAATCGACCCCTTCTTGCAATTATGGCCTGCTTAAATCTCACACAACTTTTCCATGTCGTCGGGTAACGTTCTGTTTCCTGGGGCAGCTGAAAGAGTGGGCCTGTGTCTTATGTTGTTTGAACATGTTAAAAACACCCATCGCGAAGCCTCTTGGGTGCAGCGTATTGCTCTAACTGCAGCAAGGTGGTACTTAGTGCACATCAAAATCTGTTAGGATATTACCTCCCGTGTAGTTCGTGGCGGCTTGAAGGAGTGAAAGGGCTTCGAACTGGTATTTGTAGTTGTACACATTGTTGCAGGAAGATACAGGAATAAATTTGTTGAGACGGCCTTCAAGTGGCTTGTAGCATGAGGTGATCAACAATCATCCTCTTAAACTATTATGTAAAATGAATGTCACGTCGTATATATTAAGGTTGTGTAGATATAAGGCTATGACCGGCACGTTGATAATTTCTTGTAACGTTGTGCTCTCGTCGTCGCTTTGTTGTTGTTATGACTAATCGATTGGTCGTAGCCGTGCAGTCTTCTTATGTCGTTCATTGCTGCTATTTTGCTCTGCTAGTCACATTTATATATTGTTGCTTGCTGTATATCGAGGGTCTGGGCACTTCATTTCGCTGGCAGCGCATCGTAGAGGATCTCCTTAGTGGCTGGTGGAAGCTGATCAGGAAACCGGATATCGAACGAAATGATCATATCACCACGTTTCGAAGGGTCCCTAGGATAGGGCAGTCCTTGGCCCTGTACACGTTTCGTCGTTGTAGGCTTAATTAACTGGGCACACAGAAGAAATAGGAACAGAGAGCAGAGCACAAGAAGACATCGTAGTTATATTAGTACACCCATCGATCAAACGATGTCGTGTGAGGACAAGCGTTAGAAAAAATCATTCCTGGTAACAACAAATCACACTACGAGATTGTATTATTGTATTGTATGTTCGTGCAGGAGAGAATCATATAGACAAAAGCAAACAAGTTAAATTGTGTGTTGCGCCAGTATAAGCTGTTATACTTAGTATCAGTTTAATTGTACACTACTGTGTCGTGATTGTTCGGCTGTTAATGCTCATAGCACCAGAGTTCTTACCTCATTGTAATGAAGTGATACCGTTCCGCCTTGTAGAGTCGGTACCTGGATTCGTGTCCCAGTCAGAGCTTCTCGGAGGGTAATCTTTGCCGTGTAACGAATGTCTACTCCGTCCCGTTTAAACAGTTCGTGTGGTTTGTCACGAATAATAAACACGATATCGGCAGGCGTCGTGCCTGGCGACTGATCACCCTCTTTCTGAAACGTGATCTTGGTCCCGGCTTTCCAACCGGGCTTTACGTTGATGGTTAACACCTGGTACAGTCATTGAGTTGCAAAGGAAACCGAATTAGTGAAATACCGAACGATCTCGATATTCAATCGACCTTCGAAACATTGCCATTCATCGGCACAGCTTTGAAGCTAGCTTGATAATAGTTTTAGGTACTGTGACATTTAGAATTCATGTGGAGCGCAAGCAGAGTGAGAAGCAAGGGAACATTCCCATGACTCATGCCAGGTATGAGTCGGTCTCGATTATATGGGACCTAGATTAGAAATTAGGTAGTAATGTCTGCTCATATGCCAAACGAAAAACCATTCAAGTTAACACGCATATTCCATTGCAACCGTATTCTGGCTGTTTCATTACAGAACGCAATGTCTTTCACTAATCCATCGCTTTATCTAAACACATCTTGAATTCATTTTGTTGACATAATAATTTATTTTTTAACAATTTTCATATTTACTTCGTTCATACCTTTTCTTCACGGCGTGTCGTTCTTCCGTCTGGAGCGAGAACCTTTCGAGAAATTTTCATCTTCTTTGTGCATCCCTTCAGAATGTCCTCGAGACTGACGAACAGATCATGCTCAACTGGAGGGTCTTGTTTCGGAGATTTTCGGGTGCCGGCGGTGAAGGACTGCGAGCGAAAAGCGTGATTCCTTAAACCAGGACCGAAGATGTCTCCAGCGTCGACATCCATGTGATCTTCAAAGAAGTTGCCACTAACGCCGCTACCTAAGCCAGTGCCGCTTAGATTGAAAAAGTTCTCAAACGGATTATCAGTGCCGAAAAACTGTGCAAATGTGGACATCGGATCGGTTGACGTGTAGAACCGCGTTCCACTGCCCGTGCCCCCTGGTCCTCTGCCACCGGCGCCTCCGGCACCTCCAACACGAAGACCCTCTTCGCCAAATTTGTCATAGGTTTCACGCTTTTCCTTATTCGACAAGATCTCGTAAGCTGAGCTTACCTACAGAGGAAGGAGAAGACATATCTAAGCAGTGCACCATGGAATACGCAGGTCGTACCGAAGTAGAACACTGGTGTTTGTCGGTTCGAATACATATAACCAATGGATTCAAGAAAATAGCATACAAGGAAGAGCGACCACATGATTGTCCAAATTTACTGCAACCAGTTTCGAAATTATAATACCGGATGTTTTTCAAGCCATAATAACAGTTGTATACAGAGAACGTGCTATGGGTTATAAATATAAAATTGGGATTTCGGTATAAAATTATACTATAGGCTTGAGAATACGTTTGAACAAGACAGCTTCTATTTAGAAATAAACTTGTTTGTTATGACAGTACCGTTGTTAGACTTCTCTATTGATATATCTATCGATAACGGTCTGTATTGGCGTTAAAAGCTGGGATTTTAGAACCCAGGTTAGACGGACAGTTCTAACCATTCAGAAAAAAATTTCTATGATCACCACGGTTTGTCCTGCCTGTATAGTAAACGAGAACAACCTCTGAAGTTTGAGAACTTCTGCTCTTGTAGACAGTAGTCCGCAAAACGCGCAACCGAAACAAGCTCTCAAGCAGCAATTAAAGCAACTTTTTGTTTGTAAATGCTACAACCTATAATAGCTAATAACAATCAAACCCTTTGGTCGAGTGATAGAGGACTATTACCTAGATATTTCTCACAGCGAGCTTTGCAATCAACAAAAGCATATTTGTGCTAAAAACAATTAATCACTGCTACTTACCTCTCGAAATTTCTCAGCTGCCTCAGGTGACTTGTTTTTATCTGGGTGATATTTAAGTGCCAACTTACGGTATGCTTTCTTAATTTCATCAAGAGTGGCATCCTTGGTTACACCAAGAATACTGTACAGATCCTTTGCCATTTTCTGAAATTGGTCGACAACACGGAGTATTGTATCATGTTATCTCAATGCCTCAGTACCGAAACCCTTTCTCACTTTACTCTATTTGATATATGTATCATTCGCTGTCTATATAGTCAGTTTCCAAAGAGACTTGTTTTAAATGTCAATCTTCTGCTTCGATTCAGTCAGTGCCTGTTCTGCTGCGTGTTAAGACCCTAATTTTCCTACTTAGAGGGAAATGACCAGCAGTCGTTTGTCTGCTCGTCATTTCCCTCCAACCCTAACGATAGTTTGTCACTGACTTTGTCCTTGATGCTTACAAATCTATCCGAACCCTTCCATAAATGATGAAGTATATCGAAGAAAAGAAGTTTATTCTTGTACTTCTTTCCTTGTTACTGAATGACGGCCGCTCACTGATCGGCATCTACGCCCGGTACTCGATCTACCTCTGAGACACTATAACACTTTCACCTTTTCCGTACGGAACCTCCCGATTCGCAACGATCCAAGGTATTGCGTCGCGTAGCTGACGGCATTCGATGTACGGCTCTCAGCGGGTAATCTTCGCGCTGTTGTCAGCAACAACAAAAACATCGATGCCAATTCACTTTATTATAAACTCACACAGCTGATCTCCTTTAACAAAGCTAGAAATTCTGTAGCGCTGTGTGCAGTTGCGCAACCTACGTCTAATACCATCACAATGACGTCAGTTTCCACAGACTACAACTCCAAAACTACGACTAGTAACGACTCACAGCCGGTACTGCGTGCACGGTCTTCTTTCTAAGGAAATCCCGACCTTTTTCGACTTTATCTCGATGATCTTGAAAGATCTCAGCGTGTTCAAATCAGTCTAGTTATATGCTTTATTATATTTATATATATATTTTTTTAATTGTCAATAATGCTGTGCTTTTGTAGGAAATCTTCTCTTGAAAGGGGGCTACTGTCGTTCATTTTCCTGATTTGTTGTTTAGATACGCTGCGTAGTACCCTTCCATATGCTATGATTACATTTCCTTCGTATCTACTTAGAATCTTTTTTCTCCTTCCCTTCGTAATTATTCAAACTTTGCTGCCACCCAGTACGTTGTGCAGTATGAGTTCAGCTGTTCGCCATCTCCTGCATCTCGTTCTCAACACTGATGCCTTCGCTTTAACGCAGGCGCCAAGCGTCCTACTTCTTATCCAAACCATTCGCCACCAGCCTGTCATATAAATTCAGCCACGACCTAGAACTCTTCCTCAGTCAAAACCTCTGCGATCTACTCACTATCAAACTACGGTAGACATCGCTAGTCGAAAATTGATGCCGTTGTTCTGTTTGACGTGGCTACGACATAATGAGGTTAAACGACCTATGAAGGGCCGTAAGGCCTCTTCGTCACCTCAGTATAGTATATATATAATAATATAGTAAATGACTCTTGTAGATGCAGTAATTCAAAGCCCATTTGTTATGCAAGGTAAGTGATAAGCGCGAATGAAATGATTGACTTTTCCTCTCAAAAATACAAGCCTTCTTATCACCATGGGTTGGGTCGGCTAACTTCGCGAAACAGCGTTCGGTTGGCACGGGCATCACCTTCCTGTACTCTCTATTGCACACTAACTTTTCACGCTGCCATCTACCCAAAGCGTATTGCCTTGCTTGCGAAAAACATTGCATAGAATGGAATCATATCCTACATAAACCCAGTCTGAAGACTGGACTTACAAGATAAACTGTATGATTGAAGGAAACCTGGGTCGATTGGTGAGTTAATTGTAAGGTAAGCAAATGCTGCAGAAATTCTGACACTGTTAGTAATTTTAATAATTACTAAACTAATATTTGTAATGTTGCTCTCCAAGATTGGCAAAGTAGTGCAAAATTCAAGATATCTTGAGACGTTCGTGACGACCATTCTAATTCAGTAGACACGAAAGGTTAAACAAGCTAAGAAAGAGAAGTTTCGGAAACTAGTTAGTTTCCGAATTTTTTTTTTTATTATTTTATACATTATTTATTATTTATAAATAAAAATTCCTTTAATCTCGTAATTATGTCATAACCTCGTCCAAGTGGTCAATGCTAGACTGCAATGAGAAGTTGAAGGTCGAAGCACCGTATGTCACCTCTCAGTCATATAGACCAGACTCGGTTAACTTAACCTCAACAGCGGAGCGACCAAGGACGCTGCGTTAGTTCTGCAAATTCATTTAGATACAAAACTCTCTCACCAGGAATAGCCTAAGCCAGCAGAAGCGATTGCCCATGTATTTGTGTAAAGTCTTGTGCGATTCACCGAAATAATTGCAATTTACCTACACGTAACGAACTAAACCATGCACCCTCGCTATGAATAGCAACTGGGGCTGTTTGCTTACTGGTACGACACCTCACTCACATAATAATAACAAAATGATACTTAAAGGTAATGTCGTCAACATTAGTCATCATACCGAATCCGATCGACTAAACGTTACTATACATATCCAGGGCTATTTTGGAAAACATATGCAGCCCTACGTGCCATTGGTGTCATGGAAAGAATTGTCGGACATGGCTCAAGGCAGATTTTCGATAACGAGTGAAGCACATGTATAAAAAGTGTTTGTCAAACAAATTGCTATCTAATGTGGGAGGTTCTTATGACGAAGCGAACACTGTTCTAATTACACTGTTTTTCAAACAATATTACAATCTAGCTAATAAGCTTGACACTCACCCAGGATTCGACCCACCAACCCTCCACTATTTAGTCAAAGCACCGGTCAAAGCTGCCCGCACCATAAACAGAATCTGTTTTCAAAACTTTTGATGACTCCACTCTGTAACACTCCAATCGCATATGCAATTCATGCGACACCGACAGTCAAAGCAAAACGTCCCCGTTATAAGACATTCGTACCAGCCAAGAAAATTTCAAAAAGTAAATGCTTGTATGTAAAAGTATGCTTGTGTTATGAGCTGGTATGTGCTACACTGTGTTCTAAATTGAAAAATGGTTTTATTGAGCCGGTTAGTTGTTGCTCGCCAGCCTAGGTAGCCGACCCAAGCAGCCAGCCTTGAGCCGAATAGAAAGTAACAATCAAGCGTCGTCGCTTTGAGAAAGCGACTTACCAATCAGTACCATTTTGAGTCAGGAGAATGCGCTACGCTTACGACTGCTGCTGATAGTCGTCAGAAGAACCATGAGAAAGCGGCATGCACATAAACGGCTTCTTGCCCGACCCGAGCCTTACACTTATTTAGAAATGGTCTGAGCACCGAATTATGCACTACGGCGCCGAATGTGCGATTGTTAAACAGGAACTTACCTATTTATTGCGCATTCGACAGGATTTGATTATAGAAACAAAAAATAACAATACTACAACATCTCAAGAGAACGAGGGCGTTCTCATTCAACTTACCACAACCATTTCGGCGATTCTATACTATTTCTTAATGGTCCTCAGACTATGATACGAATAATACGTAATACCGCACTAGCCTTCGGAACAGATACAGCTTACAGATACACCTTTCTCCTCGCTAAGAGTCCAGGCAGCTCTTACACAACGATATGCCGTAATCAATTTAATACTGGAGTTTTGCAACACTGGCGGCCACCGGAACCCCTGCTGTCAGTCAGTGACGTTATGCCAAACAGCTAGGAGCACACCCACGCGACAATTCTCACCACAAACGAACAAACGAAAAATCGTCAGACTAGTCTTCCATAGAGAAGTAGTAAATCCAAAAAACTTTCAAACACTGATAGCTTCAACAAGCAAGTCTACGACAACATGAAAGTGCAAACAGTCATTATATTCTGCAATATCGTGCTAACACACATTAGCTATACCAATGAACGTGATTAAACTCCTGCCTCTACAACAATGGCGTCTAAGCACTAAACATATTAATAAAGCAATCTTCTCTAGTCGTCGTGCGGCTTAGTTCCTCGGTAATAACTGTTGGATACTGGGTATCCGGCCTCGTTGCTGATCGCAGATGAGAGGCAAGGGTCACAAAGATGACGTCAAAAGCGAACGGAAAGGAGATCACGAAAAGCGAGTGGAAATAATGTGACTCTCGATCGAACGAACGATTGGAAGCACATACAACGATGACGACAAAAACGACAACACCAATAACGAGACCCAGAACCAACCACGTCAACTTATAACCGCTAGCAAGCGGTTCTATTCGGCAGTATTATTCAGTCAAGCATACGACAGCTCATTGCGAATGCTGGTCCTCGGTCATCTAGTACACAGATGCTTGCATAGGTGAGGGTAGCCGGCCGCCAGGCCCTCTGCCACTATGAAAACCGGAAACCGGGAACTCTGACCCACAAATGAAAAAATATGTACGTGTTCTACACTACATCTGATTCAACCTAAACCAAGCTTCGAAACAAAGTTCATTATATAGGATGCGGCCCGGCCCTGCTCAGTTAAACGGCTAATAATGGGAGCACATGTCGATGTGACGATGTGAAAGCACTACAAGCTGTGCCGTAAATCGTTCGGTCCGGTCTTGGACTGAGATCGGGCACAGAGTGGTAGCCATCACGCAACTGTCATTTTACAGTGAATGAGTCGATGCAAGAATCTACGCGATGTTTAGTCCGATGTCATGTCAGAAAGTTTGCAAATACGGTTTCCCGGTAACAGTGCTTTGCCTGCTCTAATTTCAGTGTTGTGAAAGCTTTTCTCGACGTCATGAATATTTTCAACTCGTTAATTGCAGCAGCTTGTCTATTCCGTTTATCGGTGCTGTTGCTTAGATTAAGACGCGTTTAACACTAGTGACTCTAGATTGTCATGTTGGCTGATTGACAAATTGGCTTTCGATTGTCAAAATAAGATCTGTCAGTTACTTATTCCCAGCATATCACACAAGCTGATTGGGAACCTTCAGATTATTACTAACTTAAATGGTTCAGTCACTGTTACAGGTCCATGCATTACAATCATATTGAAGACTGATGGGTGATGGCTCGTGACGATCGCCACTGCGGCGAGTCGTCGTTGGAAGGTCGAATTAATTTCGTGTACGACATCCGATTATCCTCTTTGTTCATGCGACCTAGTTAGGATCCGACCTCCACTGGCAGCAGGACAGACACGATAAATTAGGCCAAGCTGGGTTTCCCCTGCCAGACTGCGGTCTGCACACACAAGTGACGGCCAATCTTGCTACCATACAAGAGGTACGATAAGGCCAGCTGTACTCTCGCATAAATCGTGGCGTTATTATCGTCATCTAGGTAGTCTTTCAATAGTGGAAACAATCATGATCTCGCTACATTCATAAATACACGAAATATATGTATATATTCAAAATGTGCGAAGCGACTTTTCTCAGACCGCCAATGGACATACATGTATAATTAAAGTTCATTAAATTAAGACTGTACGACATAATTGTTCAAAAATTGTTTTTGCCAAGACCCTATTATATAGTAGCGCGCGAAACAAATTTATAGACACAGATTAACACGTTAGTAAGAGTTTTCTTTTTCTTTATCCCAGTAGGTCACAACATGGCTTGTTGATAAAGACAGCACTTCGCCGTTTGTAATAGCTAAAA